AAAAGGTGTTGAAATATGAGCTTTCAAAGTCAACTCAAAAAATACTATGTTTTTTACATTTGGGGGGGTATTATGGCATACATCGGATACGTCGAATTAATATCGAAAATCATCGTATTACAGTATAACCAGTATTATAAGATATACAAATAAGTATAGCAAACATAATTAATGTCGAATCATTGTATTACAGTATTACAGGATATACAGATAAGTATAGCAAGCATAACTACACATGATCTTTTTTGCTTTTTTTACGTAACCGTTCTTCTTTTTTTCGCTCATTTTCAGCTTTTTTTCTTTTTTTTCAGCTTCTCGGTCAGCTCGTTTCTGGGCTGCCTCCTCTTTTCTTTTTTTTGTATTTTCTGCTTTACTTTTTGCTAACTCATTCATTTCTTTTAAAGCATTTAGAGAATCTTCGTTAGTAAGAAGTCGAGCAAACGGCAAGGTTTTTCATTTTTTTGGCTGATTGGACTCCTTCTCTTTGGCTTGTATTGGAACTCGAGAAGTAGGATACTTAAGGGCTAGTTTAATGCACAGGTACCGGGATTTTTAAACGTTTCAAGTTCTTCTTTTAGTAGCAGATTTTTCCTTCTTAGAGCTTGGATTTCTGTTTCTAATAATTCATTTGAAGAAGACGGTGTAGAAGAAGATAGTATAGAAGATGAGGCAGAAGAAGACAATATAAAAGAAGACGGTGTAGAGGAAGATGGTGTAGAAGAAGAAACTATAGAAGAAGACGGTGTAGAAAAAAATGGTGTAGAAGAAGGCGGTGCAGAAAAAGACAGTGTAGAAAAAGACGGTGTAGAAAAAGACAGTGTAGAGCAAGATGGTGTAGAAGCTGAAAAAAAAAGAAAAAAAGCTGAAAATGAGTGAAAAAAAGAAGAACGGTTACGTAAAAAAAGCAAAAATGATCATGTGTAGTTATGCTTGCTATACTTATCTGTATATCCCGTAATACTGTAATACAATGATTCGACATTAATTATGCTTGCTATACTTATTTGTATATCTTATAATACTGATTATACTGTAATACGATATTAATTCGACGTATCCGATGTGCGCCATAATACCCCCCCAAATGTAAAAAACATAGTATTTTTTGAGTTGACTTTGAAAGCTCATATTTCAACACCTTTTTTAAAAAAGTTGATTTTTTTTTTATTGGCAGATAGCTAAATTGATGAATAATCTATTTCAATAAATTTTAAGGATAAATATAGTTTTTTTGAAAATTTTTATATAAGCAACTCTTAGGTGCGTCATAATACCCCACTTCACCTTATATAAAAAAAATTCTGGGCGGCTGGATCCAAAAATTTTTCAAATGTTATGTAAACCAGTTGTTACTTAGAGTATTATTATCGATTTACTTAGTATAATTTTGAATTTTATATGTAATAACAATAATCGATTATTTAAAAAGACAATTTTTAAAAAACTTTTATTAATAAAATTTGTTTAATAAAATTTCTATATAATCACGATTTATATTTTTTTAATAATTTTATTATAATTGTGATTATATAGAATTCCCTCTATAATAGTCACACCTCTATATAATCACCACTTTTTGTATCCCGAAGGTGTGATTATATGGAGGTTAGACTGTATTTATTAATATATAAATAGCAAATTGCCTCACCTTACTATTTAAAAAAAAATTTTATATATAAGAAAAAATACACAAATTGCTTTATTCTTAAAAAAAAATTTTTTTTAGTTTCCAATTTTGACTCAGCCGAATTAATTTAACATAACCTAAATTTCCAGTGTTTTTTTAATATATATATTATTATGTCAATAATCCTATTTAAATTTATCTATTTAAAGTTTAATTTATATAATATATAATTGATAATAAAGCTGAATATGGTCACCACATAACGATAATGTTAACTAGACATTATTGAAAGACAAAGTAATACGTACTGTACGTACGTACGTACGTACGTGCATTATGATACACTACATTACTTGTTACTTCGGAATTTAAAAAATACGAAGCAGGAAACAACGAAGATAAGAAAGGGCAATTTGAACACCTAAAATCCGTTCGTTACCTAATGTAGACTACATAAGTACATAATAATAAACACCTAAGATGGTACTAACTAAACAAAATTCGTAATATTTTTACGTACCGATACTGATTACTAAAAATGACAGGCTATTTAATCGATCATTGTCGTTATAGGTACATATTTTTGCATTAGTAAATGGCCTATCGATAAGAGGGTTTGAAGTAATACGAACCCCTTTTTTTTAATTATACAATTCATATTAGTGCATATCTAGTTAACGTTAAATTCAATTTTCACATGAATTTGGTTTATTAACCGTACATTGAATTGACCTAACTCAAGGATACTCCAGTGGGTTCTGAACTCGGTTCAAAGCTGATTTATTGTTAAGACTTTGAAATCTTATGACTGAGTGGGAAGCAACGTAATTTGATTTAAGCAGTAACTCATTGATTTAATGTTATGGCATCTCTCGAAGATTATGAAAAGGGGACCATTACAGCTATGTTACTTTATTAAGCATTTTCTTTATTAACGAACCTATAATCGTTATCGCCAATGTGTATCGGTATGAATCAAAATATCACTTATAAATTTAATAAAATCGTAGAATAATGAACTTTTTAGGATTTTTTAATTTTGGATTACGCTCACCCTTATTCTAAAAATATTCTAAAAATATTTAGAATCATTTGAAACCACTTATGGCATCATCCCTATTTTAACTCCTTACAATATATTAAAAAGGTATATAGGGGGGTTCTTTTTTCAGTTCAAATATTTTCGAATCCAAGAATTTGACTCATCGTATGATTCCTACCTGAGGAAAAATATATTTATTATGATAACATTTACATTGGTAATGAAAATTGCTATATACATTATTAAAACACCATACCAGATAATGATTAAATCTTATCGCTCATATGAGTGTTAAAGATAATTATGATAATTAATAACATATAGATATTTATACATAGATATATATGGAATTATAATTTCTTAAAATTTCGAGCTTTCTATGAATATTAAACTACTTCTTCGATCCTTTTTAAATGAAACGATCTTTTTAATGGTTTTTACAGCCTTTTTTAATGTTGAAACATTATTTCTGAACATAGAATTTTTTCTTAATCGAGTATTGTTTGTTTTTCCTAGAATCGGAGCATCGATTCTTTGTTGTTCAATGGATTCAACGGTAACAATGTCCATTAATGTATCATCATTACTTGTGTCATCAACTTCCATCATCATTTGCGCCTCAGTTTTATTAGTGTTATCATGTTCTTGTTCATTAAAAGTAGTTTCATTTAAAATTTCAGGTTCTAAAATTAGGGTAGTACGTTTCTGCATAACAGCTATCTCTCTTCTATGTTTTTTTGATGCTATCGCGGCGTTTAGCACTAAATTAGCATCGGCATCCTCATGATTTTGGTATAAGAGCTTTCCCTTTTGCAAAACAATAATATGTGGTCGTTGGACCCTTTGCGCTCGGATAGCCTTTTGTATTTCATAATCAGCTTTCATAAATCCAACACCGGAATCATTTGATGCAATCGAATCATTAGAAGTTCTTCGTATATGTATTACAGGTTTTGAAAGCATTTCCTCAACATTCAAGTCAAATGGTCCTTGGGTGGTAAGGATTGCACCCGGATAACTGTAATGGCGAAATCTCATTTCTGAATTAATAGATTTATTTCGCTCTTGCATTTTTTTAAAAAAGTAATTGTCTTCCAGGACAATAATAAACCTCTAAGTAGAAAACAAAAAAAAAAAAAAAAAAATTTTTTTTTTTTTTTTTTGTTGATAAATTCTTAGAGGCAGCCGAAATTCTTAAAAAAAGCGCAATCAAGTTCTTTTATACGTTTATTATGAAAAAAAACCCAAAACAATTAGGTAGACAATTAGGTATGACAATGAGTTACCCGTTTTTATTCGGCTATTCGGCCACATACCCCTATAAATGGAGTTCCAAGACTATTTGAATATATGTTACAATCGTTGTATAGTCATTTTCTTTGCTCATCCATTATGTTTCCGGCTATTGTACTAACCCTTTGACCAAACAAATCCAAAATTAGCCGACAACAGTATGATATTTTCATTAGAATGATAAATAAAAGGTGCGTACGTACGTACGTAGTATGTACGTACTACCTTTTAATCTTTAGCAAAATAAAGGAAATATTCTTCTTAATAGATTATATTTTAGTTCAATATTTTATGTTACTCGGCATTTTCCCACATATAAATTTGGAGTGAGTTTTCCGGATACTCTAAAAATTATTATGCAAAAAAAAAAGTGAAAAGCACCGCTTTCTATATTTAGAAATCGGTTGTTTGTTTCGTCGTAAATGCAGGAAATGATTTATTCTACACGGGCTTAAAATCATTCCTAAAAATAAATTTTCGATGAAACAAAATCCTCATGATATTCGGAATATACGGAGATACTGTATGAATGAATGACTTGGTATTCAAACCCCTTAATGTTTGAATCCCTTTATTATTATATTGCATCATCACTTAATTACCAGTTAAATATATATATTGTTGTTGAAACATGTATTAAACGTCACAGTATGTCACCTATCAAAGTTAGTGATATTTTCTATATAATAAGACTTTATGTTATGTTTAGATATGTTTAGATTAGAACTACGTACGTACGTACCAGCTACAGTTTATATTGATGGATATTACGCAAATATGTCTTCCTCTCTACCTAGTTAAAAATCCATTATTTAGTCACATGAATGGATGTTCAAGGTAAACACATAATACAGTAATACCGATATGTACATACGCGTACACACACATACATACAGCGAAAATCTTTATAGTGTGTAAAAGACAAAAGTATTATAACTTATCTTTATACGTATAACGCGATAAAAGGTAGTTACTGGCACTTGTCTTAACCCTGACCATTTAAAAAGGGTTAAAAACTAAATTTTATATCCGTATGTCTGTCCGAATATGTACTATTGTACTATACTATTTTACTACTGTCATCGCTTTTGGACATTGCATCACACTAGAGGTTGGAACCGGTTTTAATAATTCGGGTTTATCACATGAATTTTGTGATATTTTAGAATTTAAATTTAATAAATTCTAAAATATCACAAAATTCACGTGATAAACCCGAATTATTAAAACCGGTTCCAACCTCTACATCACACGTACGTAAGTACTTGAGAAGAAAAGGTAAAATGCTTATTAAATAGTTTCGACCTCAATATGATACTTTTTGTAGTAAAGGTTTTTTTCTAATTACGGCTTAAACCCTTTCCAAATGTATTTTCTCTAAATACAAGGACTATATATATTTTTTCTCACAAGTTTAGTTTTAAAACTGTTTCTATAAATACGCCCCTTAACTACGTCTATCTATTTGGTCATATGGTCTCAAGAGCATACATATATTTTAGAAAAGTTAGACTGCATGTATAACAAAATAAACTATATATATGCTAATTCTTTTAGGATTTTGGCCTTAATAATAAGTGCTGCATTTATAACAAAATTTGGTTATAAATTAGGGTTCCGCCTCAAACTTACTGATTTGGGATTAGCTCAATTGTATTGGTGTTTATTAGATTTCGTAAAATGTCTTTAATTTGCTTTAACAATTTTTTTTAACATGTAATCTAGATTATAGCCCAAATTTTCATAGTTTTTTTTTGTTTATAAAAATTAAGTTTGGGTTGGGATCCTCTATAAAAATACTAGTTGGGTCAAACTTAAAACATAGTCTTACAAACTTTGACTAATAAGTCAAAAACAAAAAGAGATTTTAGTATTAGTCAACATTAAAATAATTTTTAATTGGATTTTCTGTCCAATAGATTGGAATCTTTAGATATTGTATTACGTTCAAGAATGTTATACGTACAGTACGTACGTACGTATACGTAGTAAACATGTTTATTTACTAATATCCAATTATCTAATTATTTATATTAAATAAATTTAATAATAATATTTTGCTATATTAAAAACAAATTTAAAAAAATTATTATATATTTAATGATAAGTTTATTTATTTATAATACTATAATATCATAGTACTAATATAATTAATATATAAATCAGTAATAAATTTTTTAAAATTAATTATATATTTTAAAACTTGAAACACATACGTAAATAACTAGTAATAGTTACTAATAAAAGTTAGATATACGTAAAAAGTTCAAATTTTAGTTATACAAAATATTCTTTTTAATAAATTAGCAATACTGTTCTTGAAGTTAAAAAAAAAATATTTTTCATAGAATTCTAAAAACCGACTCTAATTCTATTTTTTTTTTTATGATATATACGTAATCGTATCAGTCGGCCGACATGTCGTTTACAATTGCAGACTTATTGATCAAATTAATTGACGTACTTAAATTTTATAAGT